TTCTGTGTTCTCCACTAGAATGTCAGCTCCATGAAGTCAGGGACATTTGTTCTCCACCTCTCGTGTTGTGGGCCTGCCTTTCCTGCTGAGCATTTATCACTGGTGTCTTTGTCTCATGTATGGGTTTCTGTGTTCTCCACTAGAATGTCAGCTCCATGAAGTCAGGGACATTTGTTTGTTGCCCTTGATGCATCTCAATATCTTGAGCAGTGCCTGGCACATAGTAGGTGCTCAGTAAATATTTGTGGAACGAATGAATGTGGATCTAAGAGGATATTTTAGATTGATCAGCTCTCCCCTCCTTAACTTCCCTTCTCTTCCCTTCCCTTCCAGGGTAGCTCATGGGTCAGTGGAAAGAGGGTGCAAAGCCGCTTCCCATCCTCTCCTGCTGCCCCCAGTTTTTTTGCTGTTTGCTTTTTGGCAGCTGGCCGGTCGGTATGGGGATCCAAACCCGTGACCTTGGTGTTATCAGCGTCAACCAAGTGAGCTAACAGGCCAGCCCCTCTGCATTTTTTGAGCCACAAAATGCCACACCAAGGATGGCATTTTGGGGACAGAGCCACATTTGGAAACTGGCTTTTCCTCCTACTAGTTGTGTAGCTTTCTGCTAATCACTTTGTCTCTTGGAGCTTCAAGTTCCTTACTTACTAGATGAAGATAAAAATCCTCACCTTACAAGGTTATCTTGAAAACAAGAGCTTGTGCATGAATGCCACTTGCTGTGTGCGTGTTCTAACATGTTCTCAATTATTGACAACTCCCAGTATTCCTATGAGGCTAGTTCCTGGAGGTATTATCATCATCCCCATTTTACAGATACAGAAACTGAGGCTCAGAGAGGTTAAATGATTTGCCAATGTCACACAGCCAGTAGCTATTGCAGTTGGGATTTGAATCCTATCAGTCTGGTCCCATACTATGCCTGGCAAACAATTCAAAAGATACTAGTCACTTTATTAGTTTCTCATATAGAAAGACAGTATGACACCATGAAAATGCATTTTTAGGAGAAGAATATCACTTCCCACCCAAGCATCACCCCTGGTAGCATTTTGAGTGTGTTTGCTTCTTGTCTTTTTTTTTTTTTTTTTTTTTTTTTTTTTTTTTTCCGTGTCCGGCAACGGA